ATTACTGCCATTCATTTTTCCATTAACTCAATAAATATTCACTAAGCGTTTATTAAGTGTCAGGTCTTGGCCTAATTTTGCAGATACAATGGTGAACAAATAGGCAGGATCCTCGCCTTCATGAAGTTTATTGCCTAATAGTGTAGCAGGACCATCAATCAAAGGAATTCAGGGCTCGGTAGGGCAGCAGGCTTCTGCTGAGATTGAACACTTGCAAAGAGACTGACAAAGATTATCTCTGACCTGGAATCTATATTTGTGCACAGTTAATATGTAAAACCTTGGTTAAAGCATTGATCTTTTAGCCTCATCAGTTGTAAAATGGGTATAGTAATAGTAGATTTCTTGCCAAGGGGTTGGGATGTTAAATGAGAAAATGTGTGAAACATCTTGGCAAACTGTAAAATAGCAAGTATGGAAGGACTTAAAATTTTTTTCACCTGTTTTTTTTCATTTGCAGTATAGTTGACATATTAGATTAGTTTCAGGTGTACAACAGAATGATTCCCTATTTGTATGTATTGCAAAATGATCACCATGGACCTTCCTTTATATTAAAAAAATTCAAACATAAACTAGAAAGAATAGGACAATAACCACTGAAAAATCCATAAACCAGCTTTAACAATGACCAACTCATGGCCGATTGTGTTTCATCTCTAGCCATCCCCCCATTCACCATATTTTGATAAGCAACTCCTTGGCAACAGCATGTCTTTTTATCTATCTATGATCTATTTCAATACATATATCTCAGAGGAAAGGATTCTTTTAAAAAACATACCCACAAATACCATTATCACTCTTAAAAAACTAAAAACAAAATTGACAGTAAGTCTTAATTTTATCAAATATCATAACTTGATTTAGTGGCCATATTTCTCTGATTATCCTAAAAAATTTGAGACCAGTAGGTTTGAATCACTTTTTAGATAAGATTCATATATACTACAATTGTGTGAGATGTCATATTTAATCTACAGGTCCCCCCTCTTTCTGGTTTTTGTTTTGCCTTTTATTTCCCCCTGAAGAGATTGGGCCTTATAAAACAGTGGTTCTCAAACTTTAGTGTGCATCAGTATGCTTTAGAATCATCTGGAGAACTTGTTAAACGCACAGATTGATGTGTCCTGTCCCCAGACATTCTGAGTATTGAATTTCTAACAAGTTCCCAGGTGATGCTCATACTGCTGGTCTGGGACGACACTTTGAGAGCCACAGTAGGGATTTCTCTAACTGTATCCCTTGGTGAGGTGTCCTTCAACACGTTCATCTTCCATTTCCCTGTTAAGGGAAGCTTATTGAATTGCCTGCATTACAGCATAATGGTTTAAAACTGAGGGTTTGAAGGTATGTGTTAGAGATGCAGTGTGGCTGGGTTTAAATCTCGTCTTTTGACATTTATTTGCCTTGTGACCTTGGGCAGATCACTTAATTGTTCTGCGCACTCAACATTCAGGGTCCTCGTGAGGATAAAATGAGATTTCAAAAAATAAAGTGCTCACCTAGTGTATTGCCTGGCACATAACAAATGCTCAATAAACTCGATTATAATTTTTTCAACCTAAAAATAATAATGGGGCGCACAGGCTGCGGAAGGCCAAGACTTTTTGGGTTTTCTTGTTTTCACGTCAGGAGAGCCAAGGAGGAAGGCTCTAAAGGAGAGGTACCTGGAGAGAGGTGGAAAGAGGGCAACTCTTAAAGACACTGAAGTCAGCCTAGGGCTTGGCCCCTTTAAGGAGGGCGGGGCCACGTGACCCAAAGGGTCACATGGCTAGTGGGAAAACATGGCTGCGCCCGCGCTAGCACCGGCTGGAGGACGAGCCCCCGGGCTCGGTCTCGTTCTCTCTTTGCCTCTGCTCTTGCTGCTGGGCCGGGCGGCAGGGGGCGAAGAAGTCGGGGCCGAGGCGGGCGCGGCGTCCCTCGCGGGCTCGTGCGGTTGTGGCACTCCCCAGCGGCCCGGGGCCCATGGCAGCTCGGCGGCCGCGCACCGATACTCGCGGGAGGCGAACGCCCCGGGCTCTGTAGCCGGAGAGCGACCGTTCCCGCCCACCAAGGTGCTCTCTTGGTTCCCTAACGACGGGTGGGGGGCGCCGGGTTCCTCGACAGGGTAGGGATGGGTAAGGTCAGGGGTTGGAGGAAGGCAAGTAAAGATGATAATTACATTGCCAAATCGCGCACTTGCGGATCCAGTTTGATGAGAAGTTCTTCCGCCCTCCGAAACGGGTGGGTCTTGGGGCTCTGCGTAATGCTGAGCATTAGGGAGTTTGGTTTGAGGACAGTTGTCTTTCCTTTTTTTACCTCTTATCTCCTGCTTCCTCGTTCTTGCACCCTGTCTTCTTGATGAGGTTCTCAGAATTTTAAGTCAGATAGATGTGGGTTTAAGTCCTGTGTTCCTCTCATTGATTGTGAAGGAATCAGGACACGGTGTCAGTGTCTCTAACCTTGTTGTTTACTTATCAGTAGTCTCTGGCAGTAGACTCTGCTTCTTGAGGACAAGGACTTGTCTTATTTATTCTGCTATTCCTAGCACTTTAGTACATGGGAAAGACTAAGTAAATAGTTGTTTTATTACTATCGTTTATCTATACCTTGCACAGTGCCTGAATGTTTTATGTACTAGGATATGTAAATAATAACATTAATAATAACTATTATTTAGTTCTTAGTTAAAACAAAAAAAATAATAACTGTTCCTTAGTTCTTACTATTCCAGGTATTTTGCATATTGGTATGGTTGTGAAAACAACTTAGATCTGCTGACTCCCAAAGAAGTTCTTTTTGAACACCAGTACACCCTTTCCAGCTTTTTCCGTCCAAGTTTTTTTTTTTTTTTTCCTTTGGGTTAATTCTGACCAATTTTCAGGACTTAGGTGAGAGGTAACATCCTCCTGCAGGCCTTACCTGACCTCTTTTTTTTTTTTCCTGTGGGTTAATTCTGACCAATTTTCAGGACTTAGGTGAGAGGTAACATCCTCCTGCAGGCCTTACCTGACCTCTTTCCTTCCTTCCCCTTCAGTATTTCCATATGCTGCCGCAGGTGTACCTGTTTGCTCTGACATAACCGTTACTGAAGATATTTGTCTGTTGGTGTCTCTCCCCAGCTAGGTTGTGAGAGGGAGGGGAGTCAGGACCATAATTTTGTGACTTGGGTATAGAGTGTTAGGAGATTGGTAGCTGGACTTCTCATTGTTTCTCCATCCTGTATAATTACTGGCCTTTATAATGTTTCCTGTTGTTCCTCAGAGGATTCCCTGCATTATTAGTGTTTATCTTTTGTGTGGTGGGGAGCCTTGGTTACAGTTGTAGTGTGTGTTGGCCATACTTGATTTTAATTCCTCTATAACTTGAATGGTAATTGATAATCAATTTCTCCCTCCTCCTGCAGGGAAAGCCCTCTGTTTATCTGCTTTGTAGCTAACAGGGGCGCTGTCTTATTTGCATGTACATTGGTCTGTGTCAAACTTTTGCGGAGAACCTTCTGGCCAGTACTGAACATTCCTCATTTTAAATGCTCCAATGTCCTATTGATTCCAGAATGTGATGTACGTATCATTATAAGATACATATTTTTCACCCGTTTAGAGTGGTTTCATGTCCGGACTGAGTATTGTATGGGTCATCTTTGGCCATATCTTGCATTCATTTTATAAAGGAAAAAATATATAATTAATTAATTTATATTTTGTATATGTGCATTTATTTTATGTTTATTTCTCCTTGCAGTCAGTTTCTGTAATGTTTGGCAGCATCCCAAGTTATTAGTAAACTAGCAGTTGTTGAGAACACAGCTCACAGGCCTTCAAGGACTCTTAAACTTAATACTTGAACCTGAAGTAGACTTCTTATCAAGACAAAGGACTTCATAGGAGGCTGTTCTTTGTCTCTCTGTTTTCCTTGGTTTCAGATATTTTAGTTCATGTGCAGATGACTTTGGTCTAATTCTGACACTTAGCCATTTATTCTGAATTCAGGAAGTCCCATATTATGTGAGATACATGGTCATAGTGATAACCTTTTATTTTCTTTCTTTCTTTTTTTAAATAAAAGGATTATTTTTGGGGGCAGTTTTAGGTTCACAACAAAATTGAGAGGAAGGTAAAGAGATTTCCCATATACCTACTGCCCCAAAACAGGCATAGCCTTGCCCATTATCAACATCCTCCACCACAGTGGTACATTTGTTACAATTGATAAACCTACACCGACATATCATAATCACCCAAAGTCTATACAGTTGACCCTTGAAGAACATATGGGTTAGGGGTACTGGCCCCCTGCGTGGTCAAAAATCCTAGTATAACTTTACAGTTGGCCTTCCATACCTGTGGTTCTGCATTCCAGGATTCAACAAAGTGCAGGTCATATAGTACTGAAGTATGTATCTATTGAAAAAATCTACGTATAAGTTGACCCTCGCAGTTCAAATCCGTGTTGTTCAGGAGTCAACTGTAATTTACATTAGGGTTCACTGTTGGTGTTGAACATTTTATAGGTTTGGACGAATGTACAGCGACATATGTCCATCACTATAGTATCATACAGGATATTTTTATTGCCCTAAGAATCTTCTGTGCTCTGCCTCTTCATCCCTCTCCCTCCTCCCAAGTGGCAACCACTGATCTTTTTACTGTCTCCATAAGTTTTGCCTTTTCCAGAATGTCTTATACTTGGACTCATACAGTATGTAGGCTCTTCAGATTGGCTTCCTTCACTTAGTAATATTCATTTAAGTTTCCTCTGTGTCTTTTCATAGCTTGATAGTTCATTTATTTTTCATGCTGAATAATAATGTATTGTCTGGATGTACCACAGTTTGCCCATTCACCTACTGAAAGGCATCTTGCTTGTTTCTGAGTTTTGGCAATTATGAATAAAGCTGCTATAAAAACCTGGGTGCAGGTTTTTTGTGTGGACATAAAATTTTCAACACCTTTCGGTAAATACCAAGGAATGTAATTGTTGGATCATATAGCAAGAGTATGCTTAGTTTTGTAAGAAACCACCAAACTGTCTTCCAAAGCGTCCGTACCGTTGTGCATTCCTACTAGCAATGCATGGGAATTCCTGTTGCTCCACAACCTTGTCAGCATTTGGTGTTGTCAGTGTTTTAGATTTTGGCCATTCTAAGGTATGTAATGGTATCTTGTTTTAATTTTGCATTTTTTGGTTGACATGCTGAGCATTTTTGCCGCCTGTATATCTTCTTTGGAAGGTCCTTGGCCCATTTTTAATTGTATTGTTTGTTTTCTTACTGTTGAGTTTTAAGAATTGTTTATTTTGGATAACAGTCATTTATCAGATGTGTCATCAGCAACTATTTTCTCCCATTCTGTTGCTTGTCTTCTCAGTCTCTTGACATTGTCTTTTGAAGAGTGGTCTCTGTCTAGATTCTTTTTTGCATGTGGATGTCCAGTTGTACCAGCATTTGTTGACGAGACTGCCTTAGCTCCGTTGTATTGCCTTTGCTCCTTTGTCAAAGATCATTTGATTATATTTATGGAGGTCTATTTCTGGTCTCTCTCCACTGTTCCATTAATATGTTTGGGTGTTCTTTAACCAATACATGTCTTGGCTACTGTAGTTTTATAATAAGTTGCATAGTGTCTTTCCTCCAACTTTGTTTTTCTCATCAATATTGTGTTGGTTCTTCTGGGTCTTTTGCCTCTCCATATAAACTTGAGTATCGTATTGTTGATAACGATCAAATAACTTGCTGGGATATGGATTGAGTTTGTACTGAATCTATTTTTGTTTTCCGTTTATTTAGTTTAATTCAATAAATACTTATTTGGTACACGTATTATATAAGATTCTGTCCTGTGTTCTGGGCTTATAGAAAAGAAAGACCTATGCCCTACCCTCAAGGCATTGACTTGTTGGTAGACCTCTCACTGTTTCTCTCTCTCTTTCTCTCTCTCTCTCTCTCTCTCTCTCTCTCTCTCTCACACACACACACACACACACACACACACACACACACAATCACAGTTATATGCAAGCATCATTTTTCTATAGTGACAGTCCTATAGGAGGAGTATGTACAAAGTACTTGGAGAGGAAGAAAGGATTCTTGTTTCCTGGACAAGTCAGGAAGTGCTCAAAGAAAAGACCACATTAGGCTAGGCCTTGGAGGAGACATTTTCAGGAGTTGGGGATGGAAGGGCAGATTGAAGGACATTGCAAGAAGGAGAATAGCATGGGTACAAATGAAGCGTTGTACAAGTGCATGGTGTGTTCTGGGATATGTAAGTAGTTTAAGGTTTCTGGGGGTGACATTTTCACCCTTTTTAATGTAACACTTTTTAGGTGTGAGTCTTTTTTAAAAAATATTTTAATCCATTTAATGAACACTTGGCAAGTGCTATTTACAGAGAAGTAAATAGCACTGGGCTTTACCCTCAAGGAATTTAGGTTTCACTAGAAAGTTATGGCAGTAAGAATTGTCTGGGAAACAATATAGATATTTTCAAATTTCACTTAACTTCCCTCTGGTTAAAAAATATACACTGCTCCTTGAGAAAACTACTCTAACAATGTTCTGTACAGCTTATTATTTTACAAAAAGGTATCAAAATGTTTTAATCTCCATGTATCTTTTAAAAGAGTTGTTTGAAAAGGCATTGAAGATCATGAGACAATAAAATTGTACGTGGTATCTCTGTATATGTGGGTAAAGTCAGTCAATTTCCGGTCTGAGGATGGTTTGATCTGGTAATGCTTACCCAGGTGTCAAGACACGATTGAATACCATCTCTTCTATGACCCCTTTCCTCCAGGAAGAAGTGGTGTTTCTATCCTCTAAATTTTCATAGCGTTTTGTCAATGTCTGATGGAAACTTGTATATTTCCTGTAGTGTTATTTGTGTAATTGTCTGATATCCCTTTCTACACGGGAAGCAATTTTTTAGACCTGTTTTAATGTCTGTATCCTCCAAGCGCTTTACACATTTAGGCGTCGTGT